AAAAAAAAAAAAAAAAAAAAAAAAAAAAAAAAAAAAAAAGAAACCTGATGGCTAGATTTTTTTTAAAAAAATGCTTGATATACACAAAAGATGTTAAGTTAGGGACAGATGAAGAAACAAACAAGCACTGTATAGCAAAATCTTGATAATATTGAGTTTAGGTAATAGGCACATGGGGATTTGCAATATTGTTCTTTATACTTTTGTGTATTATTGAAATTTATAAGAAAACTTTTTGTCTTTTTTTTCTTTCTTTTTTGTTGTTCCCTTTTAAACAAAACTTCCAATTCCAAACTTGGTTTTTTTTGTTTTTTTTTGAGATGCCAGACAGGAGTGCAGTGGCGTGATCTCGGCTCACTGCAAACTTCGCCTCCCGGGTTCAAGCAATTCCCCTGCTTCAGCCTCCCAAGTAGCTGGGACTACAGGCACCCACCACCACGTCCCCTTAATTTTTGTATGTTTAGTAGAGATGGGGTTTCACCAGATTGGCCAGGATGGTCTCCATCTCTTGACCTCGTGATCTACTTGCCTCAGCCTCCCACACTATTGGGATTACAGGCGTGAGCCACTGTGCCCGGCCATAATAAAACTTCTTTAAAGCTATAGATGTAAAGAGGAGTAGCCATGTCAGGAAAAAAAGTCCAAACAGAAGTTAAAAAATTTATTTCAATTACACTGTCACTTAAAAACAAATGTGAAGTTATTTTATGCTGACTTTTCTTTTTTTTTTTTTTTTGAGACGGAGTTTCACTCTTGTTACCCAGGTTGGAGTGCAATGGCGCGATCTCGGCTCACCGCAACCTCCGCCTCCTGGGTTCAGGCAATTCTCCTGCCTCAGCCTCCTGAGTAGCTGGGATTACAGGCACGCACCACCATGCCCAGCTAATATTTTTTTGTATTTTTAGTAGAGACAGGGTTTCACCATGTTGACCAGGATGGTCTCGATCTCTTGACCTCATGATCCACCCGCCTTGGCCTCCCAAAGTGCTGGGATTACAGGCTTGAGCCACCGCGCCTGGCCCTTTTTTTTTTTTTTTTTTTTTGAGACAGAGTCTTGCACTATCGCCAGGGCTAGAGTGCAATGGCGTGATCTTGTCTTATTGTAACTGCTGCCTCCCATGATCAAGTGATTCTCTTGCCTCAGCCTCCCAAGTAGCTGAGATTACAGGTGCCCAGTACCACACCTGGCTAAGTTTTTGTATTTTTAGTAGAGAAGAGGTTTCACCATGTTGGCCAGGCTGGTCTCGAACTCCTGATCTCGTGATCCACCTGCCTTGGCCTCCCAAAGTTCTGGGATTACAGGTGTGAGCCACCACACCCCACCTCTTTCTTTTTCTTTTCTTTCTTTTTTTTTTTTTTTTTAGAGTCTAGTACTGTCACATAGGCTGTTGTGCAGTATAGTGGCAAGATCTTAGCTCACTGCAAACTCTGCCTCCTGGGTTCAAGCAATTCTCCTTCCTCAGCCTCCCAAGTAGCTGGGACTACAGGTATGCGCCACCATGCCCAGCTAATCTTTTGTATTTTTAATAGAGATGGGGTTTCCCCATGTTGCCCAGGATGGTCTTGATCACCTGACCTCGTGATCCACCTGCCTTGGCCTCCCAAAGTCTGGGATTACAGGCATGAGCCACCATGCCAGCCTTGTTTTTTTTTTTTTTGAGATGGAGTCTCACTCTGTTGCCCAGGCTGGAGTGCAATGGCTCGATCTTGACTCACTGCAACCTCTGCCTCCCAGGTTCAAGTGATTCTCCTGCCTCAGTCTCCTGAGTAGCTGGGATTACAGGCATGCTCCACTACACCCAGCTAATTCTTGTATTTTTAGTAGAGACAGGGTTTCACCATGTTGGTCAGACTAGTCTCAAACCCCTGACCTCAAGCAATCCACCAGCCTCGGCCTCCCAAAGTGCTGAGGTTACAGGTGTGAGCCACCACACCACACTTAGACTTTTCATACAAGATGTTCTTAGCCACTCACGTTAGTTTTTTGGGTGTCTTTTGAGTATACCACTGCATATTTATTGCCAATAAATTTCTACATTGTTAAAAAATATATTACCTGTTGTCAATAATCATTACACTGGAGGGTGGAATCCCCAAAACATCACAGCTCTGCAAAAGTTCTTTCTTACGAGTCTCTCCTTGATTGTAGTAATTTCCTGAGGATAACAAATATATAGTGGTAGATTTCTTTAACAGTGGAGACCTATCTATTCACTCATTCTTATCCTGTTTTTGTTCCCTAAAGGATTTAAGCTGCCTGAAAATGTGTGATTATGATACAAAGTTGAAGAAAACACAACATCAAGATACTCCTGTGAGAAGACTACCAGTAGCACAATCTTTAGAACCACCATTCACAATCCTTTCCCATCTCTGTATCTATCTACCTATCTGTCTGTCTGCATTTCAGTCACACGTTAGAGGCAGCATGGTACACGACCAAGGGTACAAACTTTGAAGTTAAGCAGATTTAGTATCAACCCATGTATGCGTACTCAGAACAACTGGGACTCCTCTTTGCTGACAGTCCTCAAACAACTGTTTAACATTGATTTATGGATGAGGCTTTCCAAGCTCATTCTTGTTGGTATAGAAAAAGAAAAAGAAAATAAAGGCTGGTACTCCTGAGTATTACAGGAAAATGTGCAGATACCATTTAGGAAAGCATACTCTTTTGAAGAGTTTCACAGCCAGCTATCCAGCATACCCCAAGGGGATCTTGATTCCACTGGCACACTGAACAACTTATATATTCTCTATTTTCCCAACACATATACTATGTTCCCCAAGAATAGTTCTGGTAAATAAAACTCCTCTGTATCCTTACAAATAATAATCCAGTGACATTTTGGTATAATATAAGTTGCACTCATTTTTAGCATCTATCCAGCTACTGCACATCTTAATTCAACTCTCCAGCAAATAACTGCATGTCTGATTTGTGCAAGTTACTTAACTTTCTTAATTCACACTTTTTTTTCACCAGTTAAGTGGGGATAATGGCTATTTCTGTTTTTTTGAGATGAGTCTTGCTCTGTCGCCCAGGCTGGAGTGCAGTGGCGCGATTTTGGCTCACTGCAACCGCTGCCTCCCAGGTTCAAGTGATTTTCCTGCCTCAATCTCTCAAGTAGATGGGATTACAGGCACCCGCTACCACACCCAGCTAATTTTTGTATTTTTAGTAGAGACGGGGGTTTCACCACGTTGGCCAGGCTGGTCTCTAACTCCTGACCTCGTGATCCACCTGCCTTAGCCTCCCAAAGTGCTGGGATTACAGGCATGAGCCACGGTGCCTAGTTGATAATGGCTATTTCATATGGCTTTCTGGGAGATTATGATTATATGTATGATTACATTAATATATACATATGAAAGGATCCAATTAGGTACTGTGTTGGTTTTCTCTTTCCCTGACCTTTTTATGTTTATTATCCTCCTCTTCTGCTTCCTTTCTTCCTGAATTACAATGCATCTTCATCATCCACATCAAATAATTTCCTCTAGGAGGCCTCTTCTAGAGCAGTAATTTCTGGTATTCTATTCATAAGTATAAACTTTCTCCATGATCAGATTATTAATTTCTAAATGTCACTGGCCAGGCTTGGTGGCTCATACCTGTAATTTCAACACTTTGGGAGGCTGAGGCAGGTGGATCACCTGAGATCAGGAGTTTGAGACCAGCCTGGCCGATATGGTGAAACCCATCTCTACTAAAAATACAAAAATAAGCCAGGCGTAGTGGCTCACGCCTGTAATCCAAGCACTTTGGAGGCCAAGGCAGGCAGATCACCTGAGGTCAGGAGTTCAAGACCAGCCTGACCAACATGGTAAAACCCCGTCTTATATTTAAAAAAAAAAAAAAAAAATCAGTCGGGTGTTGTGGCGGCTGCCTGTAATCCCAGCTACTAGGGAGCCTGAGGCAGGAGAATCACTTGAACCCAGGAGGTGGAAGCTGCAGTAAGCTGAGACTGCACCACTGCACTACAGCCTGGGTGACAAGAGTGAGACTCAGCTTCAAAAAAATAAAAATGTCACTGATCTTAAAAGTCATGGTCGTATTTAACTTTGTATCATCCCTGATATCCAGCACACTGTGGGTGGATAAAGTTACTAAACTTTACTAAAACTCTCACGTGAAACCTTTCAACTTTGGCAAGGGTCTTTCTAGTGCTAGCTTTGAGTGGTTTGAAGCCGGATAGGAAAGTCATGATACTATATCCAATACAGACTAATCCTAAAAAGACTGCAGATAACAGGTTTAGTTTTGTATTGTCCTCATCATATCTTTTTATACATTTTTTAAGTCAAAAACTATTTTGTGACTTAAAAAAAATTGCTACACATACCCTCTCCCATTTTTTTTCCCTAGATTACTTGATTTTTTGTGATAAATAGTCTCATGTACACTAATGCCACAATTGCTAAGTTCAGAGGCTGTGCAAATTAGCCTATGATTATGGTTATCAAAAACTGCTTAGGATTGAGGCTTTTTTATTGGGGCCAGGTTTTTATTGAGGTGTTTTATTGGGGCCAGTTTTATTGCTTTGTGTGTGAATTAAGGAACTTCTAAGAGTTCTGGAAGCTTAAGTCAAGGACCATTTTAACTGTTTTCATTAAGTTTGGTGAACGTGTAGGCACTTCAACAGAACACATGTCTGAGATCCTTCAGCAGCTTTAACTGATGTATTCTAGAACAACGTCTAAGTGAGACGGGTGCACCCTGGGATGCACAAAATAATCTTTTGGGGTGGTAGAGGAAAAGCATTAGAATGTCTCCCCCTAATTTTCTTTCTTTTTTTTGAGGCAGAGTTTTGCTGTTGTCGCCCAGGCTGGAGTGCAGTGGTGTGATCTTGGCTCGCTGCAACCTCCACCTCCTGGGTTCAAGCAATTTTCTTGCCTCAGCCTCTTGAGTAGCTGGGATACAGGTACCTGAGATGCAATTTCGCTCTCGTTGCCCAGGCTGGAGTGCAATGACGCAATCTTGACTCACTGCAACCTCCACCTCCCGGGTTCAAGTGATTCTCCTGCCTCAGCCTCCCAAGTAGCTGGGATTACAGGCATGCGCCACCATGCCTGGCTAATTTTTTGTATTTTTAGTAGAGATGGGGTTTCTCCATGTTGCTCAGGCTGGTCTTGAACTTCCAACCTCGTGATCTGCCTGCCTCGGCCTCCCGAAGTGCTGGGATTACGGGCATGAACCACCCTGCCCAGCTGTCTCCCTCTAATTTGTTCACCTTGCTTTTTAAAATGTAAGTTTTTGTTAATGTTTTTAATGTACGCATTAGTTAAGGTGTCTGTGTACTTATTATAAATAGTAAATAAATATACATTTAATGGGAATATATGATCAACATTTTTTACCAATAGGAAAATGTGACCAAAGAGTTTTGAGACCATTCTTCTAGGAAACAGAAAATAATAAAATTAATGTAATTTCTAGATGTAGAACTACATTATGTTTGTGTTTATGTATAAGCTCATGCACAATTCTATGTTAAGTAGTCTTCCCATAACATACTTCTCTGTCATAGCTAGCAATCATAATCACATTTAATACAAACTAAAGATATTTTGCAAAGTAGATATTTTGTAAACATCACAAGTTATGAAGGTAAAAATTTTATTTTATTAAAAAATTTAAAATTAATTTATTCTAAATAGGTAATAGATTCATATTTTTAAAAAAATCAAAGCCAGACAACATGGCTCATGTCTGTATTCCTAGCACTTTGGAAGGCTGAGGTAGGAGGATCACTTGAGGCCAAGATTTCAAAACCAGCCTGGTTAACATAGTGAGACCCTGTCTCTACAAAACAAAATTTTTAAAAATTAGCTAGGCATGCCTGTAGTCCCACCTACTTGGGAGGCTGAGGTGGGAGGATCACTTGAGCCCAGGAGTTCGAGGCTATAGTGAACCATGACCACACCACTGCACTACAGGCTGGGTGACAGTGTGAGACCCTGTGTCTCAAAAAATACAGGTATCAGTAAGAAGCTGGGTGGGGTGGCTCATGCCCATAATCCCAGCCCCCAACACTTTGGATGGCAGGAACATTGAGGCCAGGAATTCAAGACCAGCTTGGGGAATATAGCAACACCTATCTCTACAAAAAAAGAAAGAGAAAGAAAGACAGAAAGAGAGAGAGAAAGGAAGAAAGAAAGAGAAAGGAAGAAAGAAAGAGAAAGGAAGATAGAACAAAGAAAGAAAGAAAGAAAATAAATCATATAAAGGTGAAAAAGCTCCTGGTAATCTTGGCTTACTGCAACCTCCACCTACCAGGTACAAGTGATTCTCCTGCCTCAGCCTCCCAAGTAGCTGGGATTACAGGCATGCGCCACCATGCCAGCCTAATTTTTGTATTTTTTATTTTTAGTAGAGACAGGGTTTCACCATGTTGGCCAAACTGGTCTCAAACTTCTGACCCTCAGGTGATCCGCCTACCTCAGCCTCCCAAAGTGCTGGGATTACAGGTGTGAGCCACCGCGCATAGCCTGTTTGTTTATTTTATAAAGACGGGATCTTGCTCTGTCTTGAGCCTTTCCCTTCTTGACTGTACTACCAGCTCTCATATCAGGTGACAGAGCAAGACCCTGTCTTTATAAAATAAACAAAACATTAATAAATAATATACAAGAAAAAACAAAATGGTAAGTTGGATTCAGAGGAAATAATAAAAGATAATAAAAATACTGAATGCCAACTGCATGCTCTGTATTTTTTATTTGAAAAAATTTTCAATTCTAGTCCCAAATTTTTATGAACCTGATGAAAAGAAGGATAAACTTTATTAAAGAGCTCTACCTATAATATTTTGCAAATAAAATCTAGGCTTCTCTTGAAGATCTTGAAACAAACTTGCTTATAATTTGACTCCTGTAGTTGTAATATGGAATATAAATAAAACTAAAATCTGGCCAGATCATAGTTCCCTGCAGTCTCCAAGTCTTGGGCTCAAGTGATTCTCCCGCTGGAGTGCAGAGGCAAAATTTTGGCTCACTGCAACTTCTGCCTCCCGGATTCAAGTGATTGTCCTGCCTGTCTCCCAAGTAGCTGGGATTACAAGCATGTGCCATCACAACCAGCTAATATTCGTATTTTTAGTAGAGATGGGTTTCACCGTTTTGGCCAGGGTGGTCTCAAACTCCTGACCTCATG